TTACTTCCGATCTCCCTGATTTCATGATTTATTCATGTTAATATAAATTATATCAATTTAAGAAGGTACGGGCTTGGCCATGGCATATAAATGGTGGTCCACAGACCCCTTCCTTTATTTTGCTCACTGTGTACTGTATGCAGGCGTGCGGACGGCCATACTCGCCTCGCACGGGTCCATAAGACACCTCGATAAGTGATGATAGGCAAGCCCGCACGCACGCCTGCATGTGTTACAGAATAAGCAAAATAAAGGAAGGGGTCTATGGACCACCCTATGGCTCGTCCTTCACTATCTTTTCAACCTTGGCTTGGCTTGCCTCGGGTTCATGAGGAGAAAGCTTATGAAGGGTGGGAGTGTCTGAGAGTCGTAGGGTGGGTCAGGAGGGTCAGGATGGGGACACGAGGGGCTGCATCAGCCAGCACTGAACTAAATGTTTCTACCCCGCAAGCTACCCCCGCGAGCCTCCCGCGGACCGCGAGCTACCCCGTGGACCGCGAAAGGAACCGTACGCCGCGAGTTGACCCCGCGGGTTTGCGAACCACCGCAGAGCAGCGCTCTCCGCTCAACGCTAAGCAACGTCGCGTGGCGAGCGTCTAATAACACTGCAGGGAGGCTTTGGCGCCAGGCACCAGGCACCTGGAGGGTCCCAACCCCTATAATGGGTATTCCGTCCCGGATGGAGCCGTGCGGCCAGGTTGCTTGGTACAAAATTGCGCTGCGTGAATCAGGCCCCTCGAGCGGTCCCTTGTACGAAGTTTCGCAGCCTTCTGTATGCAGAGGGGCGCTGCTCACTGCCACCAGCAGCCGTAGAGCCCGGCCGGCCCGGCTGCAGCGCCGCCGCCGCCTGGCGGCTGCAAGGGCCGCAGCGCTGCCGCGCGCGCCGGGCGGCCTGCCCTCACGGGGCTCCCCGCTGGCGACGCCTCCGCCGGCCGGCTGGAGGGGACGGGACGGCGCGCCGAGAGGAGCAGGCGGAGGAACTTGTCCAGCAGGACTCGGTCATGCAGCGGGGAGCAATTATTTTATTTCTGGCGCACTTTCGATTAAGTATACTCTTTGTTGCACGCGTTGCACGGCGGCCTGTCTGTCCGCCGGGGGCGGGCTCCTCTCCAGCAGCGGCATGCACTTGTTCCCG